CCGCGACCGCGCCAGTCCGGAAAAACCCCAGGGAAACCGAAACCGCCTCGCCTCGCGCGCCGCGCCGCCGCCCCTCAGAGGTCGAGGTCAACACGAAGGCCCGGCCCCGGCCGACCCCTTGTAAACCAGCCACGCTCCGGGCCTCAGGAAACGAAACGCCTCGGCCTCGCGCCCGTCGGCGCCGCCCTACTCAGAAGGTCAGGGGCGTAAACCGATAGGGCCCCCGCAACTGACACGTCAACAGACCACATCCAACGCGCCCTCGTGCCTCGGCCCCCCCCGGGTGGGCCCGACACCACTTAGACACACAACCGATAACCGCAAACACGTCAAAATGGACCTATAACGAGATGCGTGATGCGGCCGACGGTCGCGACACAAGACAAGACAGAGAGAGAGAAGAAGAAGACACACAGCAGAGACAGAGGCCGGGCCGAAACGCCCTGGCACTCACACACACTTGAGGTCGCTGTACGCGCTTCGCGAGCGGCCAGGCCGCGCGGCCCGGGCCGGCCAGGTGCTCCCGCATTGTGACCCGGAACCCAAACAGTAATTTCCTCGGCACGGCAGCACGGCAGCGCCACGCCACTGCCGAGGGGAGCACGACAAAAGGCGCACGGCACAGCGCGACTTTTAGAATTCAGCGGTGGAGGGGCGTGGAGGGGGCGGCCGGTTCATACCGCGGCAGCTATCTAGATCGCCTGTCTGCGAGCGGGCCGCGTTTTGAGACGTGGACTAAACGGCCACTTACGCCCCGTGGGCCCGGCCCAGGCCCGGCGGGCTCGTGGGGCCCTCGGCCCACTGCTGCGGCCAAGCCATGGCCAAGCCCCTCGCGGGGACCCAGCCGGCGCCGCGACCCGTAAACAGGCCGGCCGGCGTTCCGCGTGTCGCGAGCCAGCCTCACGGGCATCGACACCACGAGGACGAAGTTCTTTTCAACGCTCTGCAGACCGACTCCGAGAGTCGTTTCCGTCGCTCTGTCCCTCTCGCGCTCATGTGCGCCCCGTGTAGGTGCGAGAGAGACAGAGCGACGGTGGCCTCCACCGGTGAATCTCGGCGTGGAGCAGCAGCCAGCCGGCAGCCCCGCACGGACGCGCTTTTCCTGCTGGAATAGCACCGCAGAGGGCGGGGAAAGGGGAAGGGGGCTCAAACGCCGCGCGGCCAAAGCGGCCAAATTGCACGGGGCTGCGGCGCGGTGGCCGGGCCGGGCCCTGCAGTGGGAAAACCGTGGCCGGGGCGCCGGGGCCGGAGGGCCGGGGACCGTGCTCATACTCGGAAATGGGAGCGCGCGAAAACGACGTGCGCCTGTGTGTGTGAGAGAGAGCGTGTGTGTGTGTGCGAGTGGGTCACCTGCACCCCGCCTCGCACCTGCCTCTCGCCACCCAGTCCTTCTGATGAAAAGGATCAACAAGGATGAAGTCTGTTGTCTCGAGGCGCGTCCCGGCCGCGGCCTGTCGACTGATTCCGAGAGTCGTCTGGTGTCTCACTCGCGCCTCTACAGGACGCCCCGAGTGCGACAGAGACAGCGACAAAAACGCCTCTCGGAATCAGTGTGCTGGCGGCTGGCACTGGCCTGGCAGGCGCCCCGCTGGGGTGTTTGCACTGCGCCTCGGAGGCGCGGCGAGGAGGCGACACGCACGGACGGCCAAATCGTCAAGCACCTCACAGGTACTCGGACCGCCGCGCCGCGCCACGCCACGCCACGCCACGACGCCGTCCGACGCTCAATTTCATCGCAGCAAAGCCAGCAAAGCTGCGGCGAGGCGAGCGCGGAGGCGGTGAGGCGGTGGCTGTCCCAACATAACGGGAAAAGACTGGCCGGGCCGGCCGCGCCACGCCAGCGCCACACCGGTTAGACTAACCCGGCCTCGGCCGCCGCACGTACACACACACGCTCACACACACGGACACGGCGTTCCGGAGTTTCAGCAGCGACGAGGGCCCCGCTCTAACGAGATGGTGCTGAATCGCATCAAGGTGGAGACTGACCCTCGAGAAAAGCGCGGAAATGGCGCCGACGTGGGGCTTGCGGTGGAGGGGGCGCCACTCACCCCGTCGACATGCAAGCGGCTCAGCACCCCGCCGGGGCCTTGCTCGCACCGCGCCCCGAATCGCAACCCGGAAGGACCGCGCTCTCGACCTACTCCACTTGGAATCAAATCGCACCTGCAGTGAGGCCCGGCTAACCTAGAGGCCAACCTAGGGGCGTGACCCTCCCCGCCGACATGCTGCACTTGGTTGTTTGGCCGTGTGCGGCGTGCAGTGTGGTGCAGTGCGGTGCAGTGCGGTGCAGTGCGGTGCAGTGCGGTGCAGCGTGCAGCCCGAGTTGGCAACGCTGGAAGCCAGCGGGCTACCTGGCGCAGCGCGCGGCCCCGCTGCCCTACGCTGCCCCCGGACGGCGCGGCCAAGCAGGCCAAAGCCAGCCAGGTAGGGACGGCTGACGGCCCGACTGCGATGGCTGCGCCCCGACAATGCACCGCACCACCTGCAGGCCCTGCCAGTGGCCCTGCAGGGCGCTGCCTTGCTGCCTCCAAACCGCATTTTCCGAGCGACACAAGGGAGGAAACGAGGAATGCGGGGACAACAACAAGGACTGCACCTCGCTCGGCGTCGCCCGGCCCGAGGCGAGCTGACCCAAGGCCGGCTTTAAAATCTAGAGAAAAGACGGCGGGCTGACGGGGACCGACCGGCCATCGACGAATACTAATAAAAGGCAGGCTATACGCCTCCGTGCGCCGAGGAGGCAGAGGAAGAGGTGGACGAGAGAGCGGCGAGAGAGTGGAGAAGGCGACGCAGAAGGAAGAATCGTAAAGAAGAAAATACAGTGAGCAGTCAAACCAGTTAGGAGCGGCCGGCTTGGCGTGGCGGGGCGTGGCGGGGAGTGGACTTACAGGCCCGACTACCGGCCGGGCGAGGCGGGTCCGGCGGGGCCCAGCGCTGGGCGCAGCGCGCAGCGGCGCAGCCAAGATGGCCGTGGGCACGCCGTAGGCCCGTAGGCACACCGTACACGCCACAGGCACGCCGTGGCCGCAGCGGGCCCGCGGCTAGGCCTCCAGGCCTGTTCCAGGCCCCCGGAGCCCACGGCCACCAACCTAGCCTTATCTCGAACCACCCCGTCGGGGCTCGCCGTCAAGGCCCCGGACACTTAAGCCCCGCCGAATCTAATTGAAGGCCCGCTTGCTCGCTTGCGATGCACATCAATTACAGGGGCTCTCGTCCCCCTCGCCCCGCCGCCAGGCTACCCGGCCAAACGTCGACCAATCCGCGGGGTTTCCGATTTCACCTTTTTTGATTGCTGTTATTTTTTTCCCGCTGCGCGATCTCCTTGTTCTTTTTGCAAGACGGCTTCAGGACGCGTGCTCAGGTAGACGGAATCGCAAACGCGTCCTTTTTGTCTCGGGGAAATTAATGACAGTGTCTTTTTATTTTTGTATTTTCGCTATCGCGGCTCCGTCATCGGGCCGCGGTCCCACTTCTTCGGCACCGGGCGGGTACCTGGCGGCCGGACTCGGACCGAACGACCGAACCCCCGCAACTCTGCAGCCCGTCCGGGCCAGTTGCGTGAGTGTGCTCCGGGCTGCCCCCGGCCCCGTGCAAGCCTCGCCCGTCCTCGCCCGCTAAAAGCGTAGCGGGGCCTCTAGTCCGCTCGCTCAGTCTGCCCGGCCTGCACACGGCACACCAGGCACCGCATCCATCAATGTCCTCCAGGAGGCCAAGACAGGCCCGAGGCCCGCGATAACACGTCAAAACTTTTTCCGGCCGAGACGAAAAAAACGCATCGCCAAAAACGCCGTCGCCGAGCGGCTCCCATAAAAATTATCGACGCGTGTGTGTGTGTGTGTGTGTGTGTGTGTGTGCGTGTCGTCCCGGAGAGACTTCCAGCGAGTCGCGCGACGAAAGCCGCGAAGGGACTTCCCCGCCGAGGCGCCGGATCCAGACAAATGAGCGTTATTCTCAGGGAAATCGGGCTGAGGAGGAAGTCGGGGGCCTCGGGCGGCGGGGCATCCAGGATGCTGATTCCGTGCTTTCGTCGCTCTGTCTCACTCGCACCCGTTGCCGCCCCAAGAGTGCGACGGGGACGGCGACCATCTCGGACTCAGTCGACTGGGCGCGGTGCTGGGCGGTGCTGGGCGGTGCGTCGCGGTGCTCGCACGGCGTGTCCCCGGCACGAGGGCGAGGGCCTTCTCCTCCAGGGCGCGACGCACCGCGACGCACCGCGCCGTTCCGCGCGGCCGACGGAGACGGAGGATATTCGATAAGGACTCGGCGGCACAAAGGACCAGGCGGAAATCCGGCCCACTGGCGCGGCCGCGGCCAAATTGTGCGCCCTGACTTCAAATGCCTCCGCGGCCTCGCACTGCCCCCCGCGCCTCCGGGCCGCGGTGATCCGAAGTCGAAAGGAGGCGACGCCTACCTGATAGCAGAAGAAATCGGCACATCCTGCCGCTAGATCCTTGGAGCTTCATCTTGCAGCTGGTCGTTGTATCCACAAAACGAAACTGCGCGCTCAATCCACACTCAAGCGCACTCGCCCATCGTCAAGCTGCGCTTCTCACTGCACAATCACTTGGACACTAGGGATGTCCGATCACTGCACAATCACTTTGCCCACACACGGCACGGCCACTGGTTCACTGTTAGTGCCGACACGCACTCACATTCTCATCCCACCAGGTCACTTCGACACACGCGCACTTTTCACTTAGATGCACTTAGTTAAGACACCGCTCGCCAGCGCACTGTAAAATCCCAGTGAAATCCTCGGGGGGCTGGCACGGCGTGCACACACACACAATCACTGCTGAAATAATCCAATGGGCGTTGGCGTGGTCACGGCGTCGCACAGACGGCCAGTCCAGCACAGTCCTCGGCAGCCTCGGACAACACAAGACGAGAGACGAGACGAGCGGGAGATCGCTGACGCGGCAACGGAGCGACGGAGCGGCGTCCGGCACAGGTTCGGCCTGCCACGAGTCCGCACGGCGAATGCCGAGCGAAGCGGGAAACGAAGCGGCGGCAGCCGCCCGGACCAACCGACGCGCGCTCGGCTCCGCTTCGGCTCCGCTTCGGCCGCGCGGCGGGAACGCAGCGAGGGGAGGGGGAGACGGGACGAGAGCCAGAGCGCGCCACGTCCGCGGCGCGCTGCCCTACGCGCTGCGCGTCGTCGAGGTGCACGCCGCACGCACACCGTTGCAGCGCCGCAGCCGCCGCCGTGCACCTATGCACCAACAACGACTTCATGGCTTGTTTCTCGTGGACGCGGCGTGTTGCCGCGCGGCCCGCGGCGCCAGACACCGCCAGAAACACGAGACGGCGATCCGATTCGCGGCCCCTGCGGCACACGGTGGGCCAGAAGACCGGTGGGGGCGGCCAGGTCCAAAGTCGCTGGCACTCGAACCGAACGTGTGACCCCACCAATGGATTCCTCGTTCGGAGAGCAGTCCATTGGTGGGGTCACACGTTCGGTTCGAGTCCCATTTAGCGACTCTGGAGCTCAAAACGCGTCTAGAGTTTTGGCCGCCCCCACCGGTCTTCTGGCCCACTGCGCGGCAGGGCCCCTGCCTGACCCCTTGGCGCGGCGGGCGGGCCGCGGTCGCGTGTACGTTGAGGAGTATCGGGGCCGATAACGGGCGGCCGCGGGGCAGCCATCCACCCCGGGCGGCATGGCGCGATGCCTCACTACTTTCCGATAACCTGGCGGTGCACTGGCGGTGCAGCGGACGCCGCCGGCCGCCGACGTGGTGGTGCCCGAGGCCCGGGGACGTCCACAGACGTCACGTCACGTGGCGGTCTCCGCTGCGGCGGCATGGCGGTCGCAGCAATAAACACCTGGCGTCCTATAGATTTCCAATAGCTCTCCGGGGAACGGCCAGACGGGTGCACGCGTCGGACGCCGGGGCGGTCACCACGTCAACGTCGGCGACGTCGGCACGCGTGCGTGTGTGGGAGTGCGTGCGCGGTGAAGGGTGTGCTGACGTCCGACGGCCAAGAATACTTTTCACCCACGCCACCTCAATGCAGCCAAGGGCAGTGGAAAAAGTCTGCCGCCCGCTGCACTTGCCGCATTTCCGAACGAATGAGGCCCCTCACACACACACACACACACACACACACACACACACACACACACACACACACACACACACACACACACACCACACGATCCCGTCCTTCCTGGCCGGAGTCGAACCCTTTTGGGCCCTTTGTGAGGCGAGCCTTCCCGCCAAAACTTTGTGAGGTGCAGCGGGCCCGCCACACGGCCAGCCCGGCGTCGCCCGGTCGCCTGCCCCGGACCAGGACCAGGTACGTAAGGCAGCGAGGAATAATCTCGGGGATCGAGTGCGAGAGAGAGGCCCGATGGCCCATTGTTTAGAGCCTCTCCCGCAGGTGCGCGGCGTGGCGCGGCGCGGCCCCCGGCCCGTCTGAGCCGCCGAGTCGAGTCGCCAGAGGCGCTGCTTGGGCTGCTCGGGGTGCATTTCGGTTTGCATAGCATTAATTAACTCAAGTCGCCACGGCAGCGCGCCCCGCCACCGCCACTGCGACTCGCACACCTCTCCGCGCCATTCCTCGACGAAGTTGCCGGCGTCAAGTGCAATTGGGAGGCAACGCCCGATTCGGGGCGACACGCCGAGCACGGCGACGACGGCCGGGCCGCAGTTCTAAGCGATTCCCGGTCTTGTTGTGCGCGAACAAACAACAAAGACTGCTGCAGGTGCGCCGGCACCGCCAGCAGCGAGAGCGCCGCGGGAACACATGGATGCAAACTTTGGTCCAGGTTCTCAGTTCGGCGCTCGGGTCGCGTCCGCGCCATGGTTCGCGCCCCGTCGCCGCCAGAGGGCTCTCTATATTATCACCGGCCGTTTCGCGGGCTTGGGGGGCTCGGCGCGGGTTTTCATTACCGGTTGTCGGCCCTTCGCCGCCCTTGGCCCTTCCGAGCGACCGAGCGCGACCTGCGGATCGCTTTGGCCCTTGACGAAGCCAGGGGCGCTGCCCAAGGGTTGCAGGGCCTCCGACGGGAGGCCCTGCGGGGTCCGCGATTCTCCTGCTCACGGGTCGGCCGGGCCCTCGGCCGGGCCGTGTCCATCTGGGTGATGATCAAAGCGAGGTATAAGCCACGAGAGGGCAAGCCACAAATAGTGGAGGCGGACAGACGCTGGCTCTGACAGCACCACCACAAAAACACGTCGGTGGTTGTGTGCCGGGATGTCTGCCGGGATCCGCGGGCAGGGCCGCCAGAGCCGGGCCGGGCAGGGTGGAGGCGGTGGTCCGGCTTGTGCCGTCCCAAAACCAATCCATCTCATCCAGCACCACTACCTTGATCACTACTCCTCCCTGATGTAATGGAACTACCTCTGCCCTCTGCCCCTGCTCCTTTTCTCTCTCGATCCTCCGACAGGCGCGTGTGTTTGTGCCCGGCAGTTCGCTAGCGGGACTGTCACCGTCCAGACATTTGGCTTTGAAATGGCGACCGTGAACGCTGTGTAAATGGAGAGACCCTGACGTGAGGTGCCGTGCGGCGCCAGCCAGAGTGGGGCACTTGTTGGCAGAGCAGCGCTTCTTTCCGACGTGTGCGTGAGTGTGCGTGTGTGCTCTTTACATTGTGGACAGTTTTTATGAACACCAAGGACCAATCGTTGCGCCCCTACTCTGTAAGCCCATCTTGCCCTCACAGTGGCGCAGAGAGGGAGAGCACTCAGTTAGCCAACACACACACACACACACACACACACACACACTCCACACACACACACACACACACTCGCGTGCACAGTCATATACCAATGTACACAACGCCTAGCCAAACACCGTGGGATGGGTAGGGGCTGCGGTCCTCTACCCGCTTCTAAACACAAGGCGAGTACTACACCGCCACGATTGAAAATTAATTTAGGGAGTTCCCCCGAGCGCCCCAGATGGAACAGCGGCAGACCTCATTGCGGGTAACATTTAGGCAAATAACACATTCTGCCTCAGCACTGCAGAACATTTTACACTCTCGTACCCAACCTACGTAGTATTTTGGGTCGGTTACTGTTACTCTACTTTTGCCGATTGCAGTCACGGGGGCGCTGGCGGGCGCCGGGCTTCGCTGTCGCTCAGGCAATACAATTAATATAGAACCGTCGTTCCCCGCCCCCTGGAGGACTGATTCCAGGAATCGGTCCCTTGTCGCAACACGGCGCACCGCCACCCGCCACTCCACCACGAGGAGGAACCGAGGAACCGCCGACTCACTCGCGGAAACCTCGTCGGAAACCTCGTCGGAAACCTTTGGCAATCGAATGAATGACGGGGGGTTTTCCTTATTTGTGGCCTCCGCGGCCGTGTGTTTGTCGTCGGCCTGGTCGTCCTGGCGGGGTTCGGTACGTTTGGCCGTCCTGGCGGTCCTCTCGGGTAATGGCCCCCTTTCCCTTCCCCTCCCCAAACGGATTGTCACTCATTAGCGAGAGGTCGAGAAGAGCGACACGGCCGGGTCCGGATAGGTCAGGGAGGCACGGTGACGTGTGCGCGTTTGTGTGTGTGCGTGTGTGTGTGTGTGTGTGTGTGTGTGTGTGTGTGTGTGTGTGTGTGTGTGTGTGTGGGGGTGCTGAGTGGCGCCGCGGCGACGTCCGGAGACGCCGGGCTCGCGTCACACGACCGCTGCTCTCCTCCTCGTCACGGCGGTGATGTCGTGGGGGCCAGTGGGGCCAGCATGCGGCCGGCAGCACGGCGCGGCGGCGGCGAGGCGGCCGGGGGAAAAACTTGCAGTTACAGGTGCGCGGGACATAATCGTCGTGCGTCAACTTTCTCCCTCGACATCGGCTGCAGCGGTGCAGCGGGGTTGGCTTTCGCGCACCGGTCAGGCCTGCCCGTCCGTCCGCGCGGCCGCCACGCCGTCTTTGGTCGCCCAGAGTAAGAAAAATGCGTGAATTTCACAGATTTGATCACTTTTGGCTAGAGTTCCAAGTCATTTTTTGACCAACTTTTTGAGGCTACTGGTCAAAAATTCAAAATTGGTTGCGCGGTCAAAGCGTTCCCGAAGCAGAGCACGAAAGAGTAGGGTAAGAATACCAGGACGTTGTTGGGGAGGCCTTTGACCGCAACTACATTAGACGCAGTGGCCGCTCAAAGTCAGCCAAAGTCGTTACTTTCAACGATTTTCATCGTTTTTTGCATGGGACTGCTACACCGCTGTGTAGTACTGCTGCCTGCCTGGCCTGCTGCCTGGCCTGCTGCCTGGCCTGCTGCCTGGCCTGCTGCCTGCACTGCCGCACATGACTGCTCGGCCGAGTCGGGCCACTGTCGATGTGCATCCGACTTCTTATTGCGATTGCAGGCCATGTTCGTCTCGTGCGCCGTATCTCATAAATGAGTCGGCGGACGGCCGGGCGGCCGGGCAGCCGTTCGGACGGCTCGATGCATATGGGAAAGATAATTCGCTAGCCCCTATAAACAAACGCAGCAGCGGCGCAGCGGCAGAACAAGCAAATCAAAGAGTCCGTGTAGTACTACATATGTGTGGGCTCGGGCGCGTGCGTGCGTCTGCGTGTGTGTGCGTGATGGGAATTAACCTGCAAAGAGGCATCGGGCATTGGGATGAATATGCAGATGGAGAACAATGGCATCGGCACTAGAGACTTCTGTAACGGACTAATCCCGTGTAGGGGGCGCGCCTGATTGGCGACGAAGCTCGGCTGCGAGCTGCGAGGGGCGAGTAGTATGCTACCCCCAACGTTGTGTGCCGCCATCTTGGAGCCCCTCTTTGGCGTTTCTTCGGGAACGAAACCTAACCTTAGGGCTACGCAACAACCAGAGTCCAAAATTGCAGCATTACTAGTGTCCCAGGGCTGAAGGTGATGGGGTGGGGGTAGCGGCAAGCAAGGCCCCAGGCCTCACCGGGCCGAGCGCGGCGGAGCGCGGACCGAGGTGAGTTGTTTGGGTGGGCTGTCGAATCTGTTTCGGGCGGCGCATCTGGAAGAAGCTGTTTGTGAACGC